TTTATTTTTGGGGTTTAGGATCAGGAGCAGCAGGTTTCTGGTCACCCATGTTTGTACCACCTCAGTAAATGCAGTTCTTGGTAGCGAAGGAGTAAATTATATCACTGTGTACAAGGCAATGGGAGTCAGTAGTTCTGGCTTCCACTCCTGGATTTGCTGGTAGTGAATAGGCATGGAAGAATCTCCAGCTTCTTGCAGTTCAGTTTTTGCTCTATAAAAGAGAAATACTGTCAGAATTCTTCATCAGTATAAATAGTGGTTTTTAGTCCTGGCAGTAACAAAACTAGTATTTAATCAGAGAAATCTTGAGGTACTTGTTTCCTTTTATCTCTGTATTTCCTGGTAATATGGGAATGTTCTAGAACTTTTATATTTTAAATAAAGCTGGTGTTATTTGGCCTCTGACTGTAGGCTAGACGGTCATGAGGAGAGACAGGAAGAGAGAATACTTCATGGAGACCTCAGAGTTTAATTTCCGGCTATGCCACCATTGAAATTAGCTTCAGTGGATGTGTGGAATGTAACCATACTTCTTAGTGTATATTGGTGCCTTGCAATGAATGCCACAGTAATGAAGTGAGCGAGGATCAGGCTTCAAACTTCCTACAAAGTAGGAACCCCCTAAAACAAACAAAAAAAGTTTTTGGTAAAAAGTTGTATGTTGAGACGCCATCAGCCTAGCTGAGATTTCTGCAAGGCAAGTTTGATCGCAGAGCAGTTTGTCAGTGCTAGTAAAGGGAGGATAGCTGAGAGATTGGGAGGCTTGGGAGATATGGTTTCAATTCCACTCATCTGCGGACCTCCTGCTTGACTTTGGGGAGGAACAGAAAAATCATGTACTACTACTTTTGTTTCACCTCCCTGTTTGGAAAATGGGGATGTGCAATTTCCCTCCCACACAGGCATGCTGTGAAGAGAACTCTGCAAATGACTGATATGCTCTTGTACTGTGGCGGATAAGGACCAGACAAACAGCAAGGGCCCAATTTATGACTGTACAACCCATTTCAGACTCCTCACTTGCATCCTCCATCCCAACTCCCAGATAATGCATTAGATGATCAGTAGCCCCGTGAGGTTTGTTAAATCTAGGAATTGCCCTGGAGTAGATCCAGTCCTGCTATGTCCTTGATTTCTCCTGAATACTTGTGTGTGTGGATGCTCCCCCACAGAGGGAGAGTTGTGAAGGACAGTTGATTCTGTTTTGAGCTGAGAGTAATTACTGCAAAACATTTGTGCACAGCTGCCAGAAAATAGTTGCAGCACCGTAGTGAATTTACCTCTGAACAGGAACTGCAGAACAGCTTCTGCACATAAAGGAGAGCTAGTGAATGTGTTCTGTTTAATACATAGATGAGCTCTTGATTGTGCTGCATGTTAGCAGCCTGGGGAGTAGAATCCAGGAACGGGCTGCTTTGAAAAGACTAATATCTCCTGAGGTGCTTCCCACACTGTGAGAACCATGTGGCTAGATACAGAGGTGTCTTGAAGGACGTTTTGGGATTTCATAGGATATTTTGGCTACTACCGTGTGGGTAAGACTTCTCTGTGCACCTGCCTTTATAGAACAGCTTGTCCCAGGTTTTGAGAGGTGTCCCTCGGGGCATGGCCTGTGAAGTGCTCTGGTGCCAAGCTGTCACTGTCCCTTTGGCACATGGTCTTTTCTCCCAGCATATGTTTTTTTGTACTCTAATCAGACATGAGAGGCCCCATAAGGTACAACATGACTTCCAAATCAGTATGATTGAGACAATCAAACTGGTTGCATAAGGTTGTTAAGAGAATTCTTCATTAACCTCAAGTATCCCTCAGTAATGAATGCTGTGGATAAGAAAGCTTTTTGAAGGCTAATAGCAAGCAGAAATTTGAGACTGATGGGCTGTATTTAGAATCAGTGTGTGTGAAGGGAGAACAAGAGCCAGGCTAAAGAGACAAATAGATGCTTGAGACAGGCACCTGAGAATGCTGACAAAATGCAGAGGTCAAAGGGAGGAACAAGTCCAAGAGCAAGCTCTTGTCCCCCCATGCTTGCTCCATCACCAGTGGGTCTCAATTTGTCATACTGGAGTTCATTTTCTGATTTTTTTTTTAAATTTTTTTTTTCTCCCCTTATTGTAACCCTAAGGAGTGGCCGTAACCACTCCGTGGATATGGAATGTGATTTCAACAAATAAAGGTGGGGTCCTGTTATTTGAAGTTTGGTAAGGCTCAAGTGACCTTACATGTACTAACATAGAATTTTATGGCATGAGATGCGCCTGGCTGCTTCAGAAACACTGCATGTACTGGCTGAGCATAGAAAGACCATCCTTTAGAGACTGACAAATGGCAAATTCCACACAGGACTGCGGTACTCCTTGAATGCTTAACTGTTTCTGAAGATCGAGGAAGGCTGCACACAGCCCCTTGGGTATTCAGGCATGCTGAATTATCTGTTGAGGGGTTCCATCTAACCCTGAAGTATTTTTCTTGCTTGTATGCAAAGTTGCAATACTGGGCCTTACGGGAGAGCTCTACAGTTAACTGTCAGAAGTCCCAATACCCTTGTGGATCCTGCCACAACTAGGCAGGATGTACAGGAGAGCAATTCTGATCCCTTCCAAAAGGGGACTTGAAAAAATTCCTAGGTCTCAGCAATGTTAGCATAGCCTGGCCTGAAAGCTCTGAGTTAGGAAAGCAGCTGTATTTCAGATGTAGATGCAGGCATGTCTGGCCATCCAGCCTGATGGTGCCCATAAAGCTGCTCAGGGTCTGGCTGTAGCAGAGGAAAGCACTGCAGGAGGCATGAGAGATTATTATCCTCATCATGAGAAAGTGAGAAATGATCTTAATAATAAAATACATGCATTATATAAATAAAGAGAATTCTTATGCAGTTTATTCTCTTCATGGACATTCTCTTTGATTCTGTCACATGGAGTGTGTGTATGTGCATTCATATTAGGCAGAATAATGGCCTTTCTGAAAAGATATTAGTGGATTATTTTACTCTTGCTGCAGGTGGCATTAAGATGAGAGGCCTTGGCTATTGTGCTGTCAATTTGTTTAATGATTATTAGAGGAGCAGGTGATTTCTATTAAAGGGAAGTGACAGACTGTCCATTAGATATAGATGCATGTTTATTAGATTGGAAGCCTGGAGCAAGCAGCCTGGCTCATTTGCTTCCAAATTCCAGACCAATCTGTTTTATTTTGCACGTGGAAGGTTCAGAGCACAGTAAAAGTGGGAAGTATTTACCAAGCAGGGATAAGAGGACTGCTGCATTCATGCACATATATTCACTTCCATACCAAATGGAGATTGCAGTGGGAAGGAGGCTGGGAGAGTGCAGGCTGTAATACATGTTTCTCAGCTTAATTTCTTAGCCTTCTTACCTAGATGGGCTTGGACGCAGAGAAAGATGACATAAAGATTTAATCTTTAAGTGCAAACCCTTTGTCTCTTCAATCTGTGTATGTGTGTCTCCACGTAATAGAAAGATGGGTGATTTCCTCTAGACCCATTTATCCCAGTGTTCTGGGTCTGCTGGTAGCCAGCTGCTTCAGTGGGAGATGTAAGCTCTCTCCACAGTGAACAATTACAGAAGAATCTACCCAAAGGAGACATTTGTAGTTCCCACCAGCTATTGGTTTATGCTCTGAAGCAGCAGAATTTATCTCTGTCTTTAATCTGGTCTAATGTGACTGTGGATGTTCTCATTACCCAGACAGAAGTTTAATCCTTTCAGGAAATGGCTCCCCAGTTCAATGCCTCTGTTATCCTTCTTTCATCTCATTCAAACTGGTGCACTTCAAAATCAAATCTCTCCTTTCACAGATCTAATATAATAAGCTTACCACTCTATCCACCTCCATTAACCAGATCTTCACTGGGATAGTGATTCGGGGTCCGGTGTCTGCAGATCAAAGAAGATGCTGAAAAATTGGAAGGGTTCATAAAAGAGCTGTATAAATGATTCAGAGTCTGGGAAACATCTTTCTAGTGAAAGCTGTAAGGAGCTTGATCCATTTAGGCTATCAAAGAGGAAATAAAGAGGAGACTCCATCACAATGTGCAAGCAAAAATACAGGGAAGATAACTTCTTTTAATAGATGGCTCCACTAGGCAGCAGAAAAATACACAGTGAAATTTGGCTGGAAGGTCAGGATTTAGCTTTCATTGGAAGCTGGAGTGAGCACAAGAGTTGGAAAAAATACGTTTGTTTTCAGGGTAAGATAATTAGCCATTGGAAAAATTTACCGTCAGCGTAACAAATTACGAAAATCCAGAACATGAGCCTAATTTAGGAGATCCGTAATGCTCTCTGATGAAAAGCATTGTTTTATTCTACTGAGTAGAGACTAAGCTAAATGATGTATCACAGTGGGTGCTGAACGTTCCTGTTGGAGACATCAGCTGAGCATCATGCTTCTATGTTGCAGCGGTGTGGCTGCAGAAGGGAAGCAGCTTAAAATACAGACTTCTATCCCAGAAAATTACAAAATCAAGTTCCTGGTATCCTGCTGAATTCCTTTGGGGCCTTAATTTTTCTCATTCAGTTTTCCTACCTGTAAATATTGATAGCACAGAGCTATTTCCTGTCAGGAGACAGGTGTGGATGTCCTCATGTTCGTAAAGCACTCTGAATATCAGTAGTGCTATTTTTGCACCAGAAATGAGCAGTACATGATACCTCTTTGTGGATTTCCACTCTGTATTTAATTCCAAATGTGTGCATCAGTGCAGCCTAAACTACAATTTAGTCAAATTAAAGAAAATAAGACAAAAGTCTGTTCTCTGTTGCATGCTCCCTATCCTGGTTTATGTATCTGTCACTGCAAAGACAGGGCAATGTGCTACTGCATGCTAATAAATCACTTTCTTTTTGCAGCTCTCTACTCCTGCTGAGTGGCTGTGACTTGTGAATGACCTGTTCCTGCTCTGGGGACAGCTGGACTGAGAAATCAACTGGGAGTTACAGTGAGCTTATTTGCTTCCAGTCCTGGCTCAGCAACAACGAATGGGCAAAGGCTGCCATCTTCAGTCAAAACCTCCCTACAGCAGTGGAGGGGAGAAATTCAGAGAAGAGCTTGCACCACCGGAAGATTTGAGACAGAGCAGGGACCAGGTGGAAGAAATGTGGTAAGGAAGCACTAGATGTGGAGCAGAAGCTGCACTGACTGGTGTCACAACCCTTTGTCATCTGGGTGAATTCCTGTCCCCAGACTACAGTCCTGCAAGTAAACACTTTGTTACTGAGTGGGGGTATCTGCAGAGTGAGGGAGATATTACTGCTGTCCTTAGTTCACAGGGAGAGTGAACCTTCTTTTCTCCAACCCACCCTCCCACCCCTTCTCCCTTTGGAAACTTACTTAAAATTCTTTGTCCTTGGCTCAGGTGTCCTGGGGCTTTAGACGAGCTGGATTGCAAATTTGTCGTATTAGTCTCCATGAAAACACAAGTAGTGACTCTTGTCAGCTGACAGGCTGTCCCCGGGACCACCCTCACCATTCAAAACACCCTACTAGTTCCAATCACTCATAGTCCCCTCTGATGCTCAGCAAGAGATGAAAGGGGAAGGCAGACATTAAATATTGCTGTATTTAAAGGCTACAATACCATATTCTTTGCCTCCCCACCAACTATTTGCTGGGCTGTTATTTCACTATTCTTCTTCTGTTTTTTCTTTTTTCTTTTTTTTTCCCTGGGCACATGTTTTTCCCAATTCAGGCAAAATCACTACTTCCATACTCAGCTGTCCTGATTGCGTGAAGAAGAGTCTGATTGCATTATTCATCTGCAGTGCTCACAAAAGACTTCAAAATGCTTGACTAGACCTAAAGCTTTTGATGACATTCTGTTTCAATAGAAAGGGGTAAAGATACTGTGGGAACTGGTGGCATCTGATCGCGTGGCTACCCCACCAGCTGTGGATGGGACATCTAGGCCTGCATGGTACAAGATGAACTGCTGCTTTTATTGAGCTTTTCTGGGAGATGGCTTGCTGTGCTGTTCTGCTTTGTTTTTCTTTGTCCAAGGCTGCAGTGATGCTGGGAAGCAAATTGGGTTTACGTACTGGTATATGAAGGTAGCCTAACTCCAAGGAAATGCTGCCACCTGTGGGCATGAAAGCACATTTATCCCAGGTTGGTTATTTTCATATCATTAGAAACTCTGACTTAGCTTGTTAAAATTCTTCTGATTAAAAAGTTTATTAAACTTTTAAGAGGGTAATCCAGTGGAATAAAGACAGCAGCAGAAAGGTCATGCTGTACTTCACTACTGACAACTGGGCAATTAAAAAGACAAAATACCAGGCTAAGTGCATCTTTGGTCTGACTCATCTGACCAGTCTTATTTTGCGTATTCTGTTATATTGCTATTGCAGCTCTTATAATCACATCTACTCTTTCAGTGCCAGGGCATCTTGCTTGTGTTTGGTTTTGAGCAGTAGAAGGACTCAATCCAAAAGCTGAATGGAGATTCCCAAGGGAGTACTGCAGTATGTGCGTGTTGCAGCTCTTGAAAGGAAGTGTGAAATGGAGTCTGAATGGATGAGTCTTGAGTGCTGTGTGTAAAACTTAGATCTGTATTAAGCAACTTATGTTTATACAGTAACTCTGTATACAGTGAGAGCCAGCTTTATAAACGGAGAGATTCCAGAGAGAAAGTGCTTTGGTAATGTCACTAAAAAGATACAGTTCTAAGTTAGAACCCCCATTCAAATCCTTCGATTGCAGAGGGAGACTCTCTCAGTATCCCAGCCTGTCAGTCTGACCAGTGTTGACATGATGCACAGCACTGGTACTGAGGTCACTGCAGCGTCAAAAGAGCAATGAGTATTCTAGAAGGTCAGGACCAAGCAATTTAGGAAGCTGAGGAGGAAGAAGGCAGAATAAAGTGATTCCTAGTATGGCAGGGAAGTTTAACCTCACCTGTGCACTGTACTTTCTGTTGGCTTTTATTATACCATCTTTGTTTTCTTGGGAGGCCTGTTTACTATACTGGCTTTCAGGTTGGCTAGGTATGCTTATGATTTCATCATAGAGAAGATCTGGATGAAAAAGGTAAGGGCAGAATCTTTTTGAAATGGCTCATATTTTGCATGTTGATGTGAGAATGCAAGAATTACATTTGGTATGGAAGGAGTACTAGCTTAGAAACTATCTTCTGTTATAGTGCACTAAACATGGCATGTTCAGGGAAAGTTTGGTTTGGTTTACTTTTATCTTCGAGTTGATTAACAGGTTAGTGCTTTTCGATGTTACTGTCTTTCCCCTTTTAAGAGGAGCGGACAAAATAGTTTTTAGCAATGTAGATATTACAGGCTGCACAAACATACATACAGAAACTTCAGCACCTACATATGCATGTAGATAAACACAGATGCACACAAGAGCAATATAATCCTTGCCTTTTCAATCCACGTTTGCATACAACCTCTGATACTTAAACACACAAGCTAGTATGTGCAAACACACAGTATCTCATGCACATAAGTATTTAAACACCTAGGCAGAGTTCATAACAGAAATTACACATGTACGTGGTCAAGCCATCTCTCAAGACCATAACTCCCCACTCTGTATACTGCAACTATTGGAAAAATTGTCTTAAGCTGTTTTTCAGTATTTTAGAAATAGCCTTTTTCATATGGTCCGAATGGACAAGGATATGGGACTAAGCATGCTGAAAACAAATCCACCACCAAAAGATCTATGATCTTTTGACCCCGGTCGTACCTATGTGCAGTATGGAATTTTTGAGAAGGTATTAGTAGCTCCCAAGGATATCACCAGGATCGTTCATATGACATATCCAGGCCACTTATGTACCTGGTTGCAGTGTAATTTGCAGGACTGAAGAGCTCTTTCCTTGTGTCACTTCGTGTTGCCTCCAACAACTGTTGCAGGCCGTTTCACTCCATCACTTCCAAGGGAGGGCATAATGTTCTCATCAGCTCACCTGGATTGTGTGGGCAGATAATGAAGGGAACACCTGTGCTGCTAGCAAACTGTAGGCATCTCTGTTTGCCAAAATGTTAAATTAATCTGATTCTCTGCTGTTGTGGTTGCTGAGCAGAGGTGGGGTTTAGTTCTTAAGTGTTAGCTCTTTACAGATTCTGATGTCTGGGAAACTGAGTGTAAAAGAAGAGAGGCCAGCACAGTATCTCATGTTACCAGCAGCATTGGTCTCTTTTTTTTTTTTCCCCCCCGGTAGGTGTTTACAGCTTTTCTGTCACTGAATAATCTGTGTTAGTTATTTGCCACAGTTATTAATAGCTGTATCTGCAAGAAGGACAGAATCCTACCTCATAGCAAAAGCTAATCAGAATTAGCTGAAGCTATACAGTAAATCTGAGTCTTACCTGGGGCTGTTACTGGTGTACATTAAAAGAGGTAACAGGCCATGTTAAAACAGAACATTGGAACTGAGATATTCCAGGGTATATGCTAGGGAAATGTTTTATGTGGTCAAAACTAAGAAAATGAGTTCACACCTGGTGTAAAATGGGAAAGGGTGGGGAGACTAGTAGAGAGGTGGTGTTAGCAATAGAGCACACTATTCCTTTCGCACTCAGGTTATGAGGCAATCGCTTTAAGGTGATGAGAATCAACATTCATTAGTGCAACCAGTAGAGAAGAAATGCAACTGCATCTGTATATCATAGTATGTGTCTGCACAGCGTGCCCTCAGCAAATTCCAGGAAGATAAGGCTTTCTGAAGTTTTTAGTAGCTTAGGTGAAGGAAAACATATTCCACCCTCCTCTTACTTTCAATCCCCATTCAGATTTGGTGGTAGCTGGGTGTGTTGGCTTTAGCCATCTTGGGAAACAGTGTATGGCAAAGCCAAGGTTAACAATCTTTTTGCTTCTCTGTCAGGACAAAGATGCCACACAAAAGGAAACAAATTTCGGTCTGCTGGATAGGAGTCTTCTCTACACAGGCAGAAATGATGCTATCAGCTCAAACATCTATGGGGTGTGTCCTGGTAAGTAGATTGGTTAGCACAGGTTTCCTCTTCTGATGCAGGTGGTGAGTCATATCTGCTCTTATGAGGACATCAAGTGAAAACACAAGTATATGTCAAGTTTTGCAGTTCATATGATCTAGGTCATGCTTTTTCCTAATCCAAATTTGGGAAGATGATTTGGAAAATTCTTAAGCAGGAAAAGTTATATGAAATGACTGAAACTCGCCATCTGATGTCTCCCTAGATCTGGCTGTAGGCAGACTGCTGCGTCGGGCTACACAATCTCTATCTTCTGGGTAATGGAATCACTTCTGAGTGATTCAGCCCTGATGGCTTACTTGGTGGCTTACTCTTTCAATGGGAGCTGATAATAACAGTATTGGTGTTTTTGTTATTTTAAATGCATATCTAAAGGATTGAGTGTGCTGTCTTTATCCACCAAAAAAGGATATGCCAATCACACACCTCAATGGAACTAAACTACCTTTTTTTAATCTGAGCATCCTTTTGTATGTTGGATTTTGGTGGCTGCAAGTGAATGAGCAAATAGTCACGTGGGTTTGATGCCCTGGCCTTTCACAATGACAACCAGGGAACTGGAGTTATGTGGTCAGCTGCATCCAGCCCGCAACAGTAGCAAATTAACATGGCAGTGTTGACTTATGTTGGTTGAGATTTTGGTTCATTGTGCATATGTCTAACTAAAATCTCTATCTTGGGATGGCTGCAGAGTGTAGGTAACTGAATTTTGTTCCTTCTGCCTCTCCTGTAAGTCATAGAAAAACAGAAAAAGTGGTGGTTTAGATGTGTGCTTGTTTTAGATGGAAGCTGTGTTACTACCAGAGCAAGCCTCATAACATCCTCTTTGACTGTGTTTTCAGGTGATACTGGTGTTTCTTCTGAATATTGGTGCTCTCATCACTTATTTTGTCAATCTTCCTGAGTAAGTAGATTACTGATGTTTATCCAAAAAGCTTGTTTAAACAAACTCTAGAAACGAACTGCCAAGCTGATGTGTTTTCTAAGAGCTGTTTTGTGGCCACAGATATGAGCCAGAGGAACCTATGGGCACTGATATGTGACAGGCCCTTTTGAGCTCCATTGGTTGTCAGGTACATGTTCCCCCCTTCCTTTAAGATGCCAATACTTTACGGGGATTACAGATGCCAGAAGAGCATACCTTGGGCATAACTGCATAGCAGCAGCCTGAGTAGTGCATGGAACTACACAATGCAGCCAGAAAGGAAAAATTGTGGTTTGTATCTTTCTGTTACAGCTGTTGAGGTTTCACTGTATGTAGGTTTTTTGTGTGTATACCTTCAAGGCTGGATTTTCAGAAGAACTGAGGGACAGATGTCCAAATCCTACAGCTTTTGAAAAGGGTCCGGCACCCATTTTGGTACAGACATTTTGAAAAGCATTCAAAGGCCAGCTATTGCTATTGCAATGTTTAGAGAATGCTAAACTTTTAATAAAGCTCATCACCCACTACCCAAAGCTCTTTTGAAAGTCTGGCCATCTGTTTTTGGTATCTAATTGGGAACGGAGCTCTCCTGTAAAATCCAGCCTTTGGTAAACAATTTGATGGGAATAAAATAACAAGACTGAGTAAGAAAGCACACTGTAGCCTCTACCAGTCTTCACCTGAATACATATATTTTGTAGAATGTGCTCAGGGGTAAAGAGATACTACTATGTAAACTCCTTTGATTGATTTAATATGCCAGAGCATTGTTCTCAGTTCTTTGCTTGGACTGGTGCACAACACTGGAAAAATAAAATGGAATCATAAAATGAAATAAATAAAATATAAAAGCTATGGACCACTCTGAACTGAATTCAATCAGTGAGGGTATGCCTGAGAAGTGAAATTATACATCAAGAGCAATCCAATATTGTGTTTAATCCGAAGACATTCTAAATCTGACAAACATCTATAGAGTTGTTTTTAAGGAATAAACAGGCAGTTAATCCTATTTACACAGAGTTCTTTCCATGAGTGGCATTACACCTGTAGGTGAGAGTAGATGTTCACCTGGGCTGACCTGTGGGACTAGTTTACTTTGTTGTGTTTCTGCTTTCAAAATATTCCCTGCATGGGTGGAGGAAGAGGTGCCTCAGGTGGCTCATAGTATATGTACCTAGCTTGCTATCAGCCTGGTGTAGGCAATATGTCAGCAAGCAAGTGTGAGAATGTGGCCTGTAATCTCTTCAGGCACTCTCAAACATCTGTTGTTGGACCAGGTGGTGCCAGTGGGAAAAGCTTATTCCCACAGCTTTCTACTGCCAGATTTTACCACTTGCATCAGTCTGCACTGTTACACTTTGTTTGAGCACTCTAAGCCTATTTCATGCAAGGTCAGCGAGGCTGGCCTAGAAAATTTAAATTGGTGGTGTAAGCTAACCTGGCAGACTTTGATGGAAACTACTCAATGCTTCAACTACTCCCTTGGCAGTTAGAAGGCCATGTTCAGAAGCAGTTCAGTGAGAAATAGCTACAGGAGCTCTCTCTTCTGCTGGCTAAGCTGAATACAGAAGAGTATGCTGGTCCACAGGAGAAGGGTGAAACCGTTTTCCTGAAGAAGTCAACAGAAGGATTTGCATAGGCACTCTATAAGTATATGAAACCCAATCTTTCCAGTGTATTTGCATGATAGATAATGTTAACATGCTTGCTAATGCTAACGAAAACGTGCTATTAACAGTCATTTATTCTGCCTAACTCACTGAGGAGGTAGAGATTTAAATGACACAAAATTGTGAATACATTTAAATTCTGGTTTAGTGATTATTTCATAATAAAAACCCAAACCAAATGTCACTTTATAGCCACTCTATTGTTTGTTTTTGTTTTCTTTTTTTGCCCTTGCCTCCACTGGCTGTGATGTCTATTTCCCAATTTGAGCAGAGGAATTCAAGATCTCCTTTCCAGACAGCATCCTTTATGTAGATATAGGCTTCAATGCTTTCTTCCTCCTTTACTTTGGATGATGGGTAAGGACACTTTATGGGAAGGTTGAGTTAAAAATGAACTGTATTTGGGAGCAGTTTACCTGTGTGGACAGCAGGTGCTCTCTAATATAATGTTTGATTGCTTTAGCTTAACTTGGAGCCACTCTGGTTTTTCACCTTTTCTTGTAATTAGTTTGTTTCTTCCCTTTGGAATCTGGTTATTTCCAGCTTTTCTGCAACATTTCCCAGCTCACATGTTAGCTTTGTCTGTCTTTCACCATGTCTTTAAACCACTGAGTAAATTAGTCAGGTCTCTCTTCAGCTGCTCTTGAACAAACTGTATAGCTATATGCCATCTGTTGTTACAATGACATTAGTTGCACTGGTGTGAAATACATTTTGCTTGTAGCTTTTGACATTAGAATTTTTGTCGAAGTCATTAGAAAACAGGATATTCCCTGTTATAGATCGATGTAATGAGGATGGGGTCTTGCCTGCCCTTTGGTTTTATAATTCATTGTTACTGGTACTGCAGTACCACAGAGAAAGACACCCTAGAAAAAAGATGAAAGGGGCAGATGAGAAAGAGTGAGAGAAAGAGAGCAACATTATACCTGTATTCTTGTACACTGAGAATACAGCCTATTTTGTATTCTTGGGGCTCTAGCCCAAGCCTCTCTGAAACAAAACAGGAATGTTAAGAGGGTGTCCACAGAAGCCAAAACAATAGAGAAGGATGCAGACTGCAAAAATGGGTCTCCTCAGAGAGCTGCCTTCTTGCTCTGATGAGACCCACGATCACACAGCACTGATGCTTTTTGATGTTATTCATCTTTAGTTTGTGGCAGCAGATGACCAGCTGAGGTTCTGGCTTGAGCTGAATTCTCTTGTGGATTTCTTCACGATCCCTCCAGTTTTTGTTTCCTATTATTTAAAGAAGAATTGGCTTGGTAAGTAAGACTTGGAGATCCTGCTTTCCATCCATGTTGTTCTGCATCTTACATCAAGACTCCCTTCAAGCTTACTTTCATTTGGGGAGGCTTTGACTGTCAGTATGAAAACTGTTCTTTGGGAGCAAAATTATGCCTTGTTGGCAAAAACTCCTTTAATTTTGAGGGGCTTGTAATTTACCCAAGTCTGTCTCCATTCTGTTTGTCTGTCTGCCTGGCTTTTAGTATCTCAGCAATCACTGTACCTGACCAACTGGATGAGGAGTTTCCCAGCAGGGAAGCAAAGATGGTACCCTGATTTTTGTGAATGGCTTTCTTGCATGCTCTGGGGTCTATAGTCTAGTGGACCTATATGTCACTTAAACCTTCAGGTTACAGTTCAAAGGAACTGCAATTCTTAATTTTTCTCATAATTCAAGGCCTCCTTTGAGGATGTAGGTGGAAATCCAGTGACGTAAAGGCTCTGAATACTGAGCATGCATATTTAAACATTTCTGAATACATGGAAACACTCCACTTCTAGACAGATTTTTTTCTTCTCTTTCTCACTTTTCTGCAGGTTTGCGTTTTTGGAGAGCACTTAGGTTGTTAGAACTTCCGTGAATCCTACAGTTCCTCAGGATCATGAAGAACAAGTAAGGTAAAGCCTCACCAAGTACACTTGGAAGCTTAACATTCTCCCTGATGTGTGTATTTTGGCTGACTCAGGTAATAAAGGAAAATAGTAGTGTTGCATATGCAAAAAAATTACTATCAATAATGTTGCACTGGAAATTACAAAAAATTTTATAACTATCAGCTCAGTGAGACTCTGGCGGCGGGGAAATGAGTGGAAATTATAAATGCAAGAAATCTTAAAGGTTTTAGAGGTTGATAAATGTCACAAATGAGATGTTGCTTATGATAGAAAGGGCTAGATGTAGGACAGTTTTCTAATCCTAAATCCTTTGTATGTAATCTTACACTCACTAGACAAGAGTTTTGTTGAGTGGAGTAGGGTCATGTAAAAAATTTTAACTCTGGTAAAGATTACGTTGCATGTTAAATGTCCTGGGATTTTTCCCTTTCTATCTCCAGTTATTCAATCAAGCTCTCCAAGCTCTTTGCTGTATTTATCAGCACCTGGCTCACAGCTGCAGGATTTATTCACCTGGTACGTATAATCAGCTACACATCCTTCCTTGTCACTTTAAATCAGTATTGTCATGTGAGCTTTGGGTATATGTTTTTTCCTAACAAATGCAGCATTCTCTTAGGAGAGAACAAATTTGTTGTAGCAGGACAAAGCATGACTCAAGCCAGTGTAGTTTACTTGCATATGTTATCAGATGTGGTTCCATCGATGCAATAGCCCCCTATTTCCCCCCCGGTAGTGAATCACTTCTGCAATAACTAAAATAGTGCTAATTTTTTAATGAATAATTGTGAATTGGAGATGGACTGAAACCAAAACCAATTTAAAACTCTCTCTTCTTTTCTCTTTTCCTGCCCCCAGGCAGGTAGAAAAAAATGGAGTTCCTTGGGTTCAGCCTGCAAATTCCCAGTCCCTCAGCTATTTTAAATGCATGTACCTAGTAATGATGACTATGTCCACTGTTGGTTATGGTGATGTTGTGGTTCAAACAACGTTGTGTCAAACCTTCATTATTGTCTTCATTATTGGTGGTTTGGTAAGAAACCTGTATTTTTTTCTTAAAATGGCAACTGGGGACAGACAGTGAACAGCAGTGTCACCAAAAATTTGATCTTAGCAGGATTGCAGTAGGGATTAGACATCTATGAGCAAAGAGAGTTTTGACGTTAAGTATTTATTAGCATGGCTATAGAGTAAGTTTCTCTTCTAAGAGCTGGCACGGCTTCTAGTATTTCTTCCTGTGGCTGCAAATACTGGCAAGAGCCAAAATACTGGACAAAATTAATCCAAGGTGTCAACGGCATAAATCCATTATCACTACATCATTTTTTTTTCCTGCTAGTGATTTTAGGAATCCAAAGTAAATTTCTCATTGTTGTTCCACATAATTTAAACTCTCACAAATTGATTTATTGTGGTTAGGAGAGACAGAATTGGCCTGAGAAAGATTATTTTTTTCTTGATGTCTTAGGTACTATTTGCAGACTTCATCCCTGAAGTTGTGGAAATTGTGAAAGCCATAAAAATTACAAATCCTCCTATGAAGCGGTGAGTGGGAAAAAGTAAGTATGGTTGCTATTTGTCTTTGGAAAATAAAAATCAGGTCAGTGACTAGGCTGGGAACCAGCTCAGAAGAAATAAGAAGCTAAGTAAAGCTTCCTGTAGTAACTTAAATGAAATCCTGAAACTTACTCTTGGTTGATCCTTACCTCAAGACTGTCTGAATAAACCTTGTCAACAGCACTATTCAGCATGGGCTTTATTTTCAAAGGACGAGAAGCTAGCTGACATGATAGCCTAACTTAGAGATTGAAGAGACCTCTTTCATTGGTGGTGGTGGTGGTGTGGTTTTTTTGGTTTTGTTGGGGGTTTTTTTGTTTGCTTTTTGGCCACTCACAGGACGGGGCAGGTACAGCTTTAACCAGATCTTATAAAATTCCTTCTATGACTCTTTGTTTTTGGAATGTCTACCATTCACTGGTTCTAACACTTACAGTTCCTCTTCCTTTCCAAAATAACTCCTGAAGTAAATAGTCATGATGGATGAAATTTCCATCAAACCAAAGACAAAAACTGTCTTCTACATTACTGGGATTAATATACTACAAGCAGGTGTGTAGTTTCATACAGTGTCAGCTTTGCAACAACCATTCTGTTATTTTCAAAGTGACAAATCTTGCTTGATCTCTTCCTGTAGCTATATTGTTGTCTATAGTAATATCACTCTGGAGAGTGTCACTACATTCCTACAAGACTTTTTGCTTCAGGACAAGGGAAATATTTGCACAGAAATCCTTTTTCTGGGAGAGTAAGTATCCTTATTTCTCTGAGATAGTTCACTTTGATTCCCTGAACATGAATGTAGGAGATCTGAAAGTAAAGGAAAGCAATGCTTTGTAACTAATTAATGGGAGTTGGAAACCAAAATGTAGCAATGAAGCTTTCATGCTGGAATGTTCATGATAAAATGTTTTCTGTTGTGATCAATTAAAAAAAAAAAGTTTCCCTGTAAATTGCGTAGTAAGCTAGCTTTGCCAGATATGCCCGACTTTAAGTCTTGCCAAGTCTGGCAATCAAATAATTGTCACCTGTCTCAATTTCTTATACTTTTTTTTTTATCCTGGGGAGAAAATTTGTAACTTCCACTTGGTCATGCTGGTGTATGGCAAAGGGAGGAAAGTGAAGCCACTTTTCTGTGCCAAAAATATCAGGCATTTCAACTGTCCTGTCAGATCCCCTTCTTCTGCCTAGCTGAAGCTTTTAGACATGTTTCTGAAAACAGAAGCTTCAGAGGGAAATGATTGCTGGGAGCACAAACACGTTTCTACCTTGGAATGCAGTGGAGGTGAGGCAAGAGGTGAGCAGAATATTATAAGCATCTCTTTTGAAATACCATGGCATTTTGAGAGAGCTGTTGATTTGAGGATGCATGGAAATGAGGTACAGGAATGGTTCAAAGACAGGAAAAAATGCTTTAGAGGAAGAGATGTAGACTTCAGTCTGTTTGGTGTAACAGGAAGAAGATAGGGAATTTGGCTCAATTAAAGTGCCTAAATAGCTTCACAACCAGTATAAAAATCTTCTTTAATCTGGAAAAGATAGGCATAACAAAAGCTAATAACTAGAATTTGAAGTCGAGCAAACTCAAGTAAAAAGCAAGGCATGCATTTTCAAAAGTGAGAAGTGATTAATAATCACTGAAACAAACTGCTCGGGGAATGGGTGGATTTTCCAACTCCTGTCTTTAAGTCAAGATTGGATACCTTCCTACAGGGCATGCTTCATTACTGGGATCAATGTAGGAGTATCTTGATAATGTATTGTACAGCTCACATAGAAGAGAATGTTACAGAAGTTCCTCGATGGGATACAGTTTGCATAAATTGAATACGAAAATAACACTTGAGTTAGAAAATTGAAGTTCAGCAGTTTCATTTGAAAAGAGAATGCAGAATCAAGCCCTAGGAAGTGTCATTTCCTGACTCTTGTGGAATAACAGTGAGCTGTAAAATCAGTTGTATGGATGGCTGTGGAATGATACTCATGAAAAATTAATGACAATAATCTTCTTTCCTAGAAGACAGGAAAAATCCAGGAAACATTTCCATGACTGTTAAGTTTTATAAAAGCTTGTTTTCATTAAAATCTAAACTATGTACTTCAACTGAGCTGCCAAAATCCCTGTAGCTTTTTTAAAACAGCAAGTAGTTATGGCAAATATCTTCTCTGAGAAATGGAGACTTGCAGAGAATGTAATTATGAGAGATTGATGGATTCCCCTCCGCAATGTTGTTTGTATTGAATAGGTCTCTTCCTAGTTTGGAGCTGGAAGCTGTGTTCAAATGCTGTTCAGCCTACAGGACTTTCTTTTATGGCTCTGCACTAAACTCTGAAGATCTGAAGAGAGTTGGGGTAAGAACTTCATCATTTGCCCTTTCTTGTAGATAAGCCAACCTTGTGAAAATCTTGTCCCTTATGAAAGGATGCTTAAGCTGCAGTTACTCAATTCATGTTGAGATTTACACTTCAAGCACCTCTACTTATTTTAGTGGTACCTTTTGCATACTAACATATCACTCATGGGAACTGGGAATGCAAGAGTCAGGCATAACAGACTTTTCAGGCTATAAATTTTTCAAGCACTGAAACAGGAGAAGTAAAGGGGAGAGCCAAACTGATCATCTGGTTTTGAAAGAGGAATATTATGGAGTGCAGCATTTCTGGAAATTGTATTTAAATAATTGGAATAGCCCTTAGTTAGTTCATCTTTTGAGCGTGTGTCATGTTTGGGTCTCATTCATGGATGTCCAGAAAAGAGACCTTGTGTTTTGAAATACTGAAGACTCAGTAAAATATTCCAGTAGAAGCAGAAGGAATGGACCTGGATTAAAGAAAAAAAAAAACCAAACCAACACTACCAACAAACAAAAAACCACTACTGGCTTTAACTTTAGTGTGGTTTCTATTTGTTAGTATCCTATTTGAAATACAGTGGTAGATCTCCACCCAGTTTCCAGCAGGCTATAAAACCTCCATCGTAAATGAAACTTTTTGTTGTTGTTGTTAAGGACTTCATTACACAGCCCTCGTATTGATTAGATGACTGAGACAGAGGTCTTCTCACCTGCCCAAATATTGACCCTTGAAGTGCTTTGGCTGGACTTTGCTGGGGAAGAATATAGCAAAGCTGCCTATTTTGTAACCTCTTCTAGGAATATGTTAGTGCTAGAAACGTCAAAATTTCACGTGTTCCAGCACTTTGAAAATAGAAATATGCATTACATACTGTATCTTTGACTGGAGCTGCATCATTGTTGAAATGTTCAGGCATGTGTACAACTCCAAGTAATAGAATCATGATGATCTTACACAAGTTTTTAACTAAAGACGTGCCACTGAATCAGCTTGCTATCGGAGATTTTTGTACTTCGTGTGGGGTTAAACCCTGACTTAACTTTTCTCTCCTGGGATAGAGATGGAATCTGTGAATGCTTCTCTCATTCTAGCAGATGTTCACTGTCCACAACTTTATACTGAAGATACTTCCAATATCATGAGGTAGGATGAGATACTCCAGTGCTTTCATTCTCTATCTGATCAATATTGACAGTGACACAGATAGTGCTGCTGGCAGGGGAACATATTTGTCCTGTCACGGTTTTTTTCTGCCTGGAGAACTCTGAAAGCCAACTGACTGCTTTCTGCTATGATTTTATCAGATGTGTTGAAGGATTGAGACAGGTAGCAGCTGTGCAGCCTTGCAACCCCATACAGAATATAATGTTACTAAATATGGTGTAATTACCGTCTTCAATATCCTGAATATTAGCAGACAAGGAGTCTGGCTCCTTTACACTGGAGAGAGTTGCACACTACTGTCTGGTGCAGCTCTGCTGTCAGGTCTGATAATTCTACACATCTTCGTACTGGGTAGACTTGAATTGGGAACTCCCTTAGTACTGCTGGATTGTGTGAATCTGATGGCATAATTAGCATACCCCCAAGTCCAAGTTCCAAATTGGATTATCTTTATTTTCTATTTGTAGGGCATCTACCGAAGTGGAGATACTAGTTTATGAATGAAATTTACAGGTGGAATTTGCGAAGCAAATAATATTCATTATTGTTGGTTCTCTTAACTCCAGAATTTTAGTGGGATAGAGGTATGATTCTTCATCCTGTGTCCAAGCTGTGTGCCATTGTCTTAAAATCTTTTGATGGTGACTACCTTCCTCTCCAGGTAGTGGACTTGGATATGCTTAAAGCGTAGATGTCCCAGATATGGGCATTGGGTCATATGCCATTCTTTGTCAATACCCTTCAATTGCTATCTGCCAGAGCAAACTAGTCTGACTTGAAAAATGAGAGACCCTAGCCAGAACCAAGCATATTAATCAGAAATTACATCTTTTGTACAGAGTGCTGTCTATCAAGAATCATACCCAAACACGAGAGTAATTTTACGGATAATTCAGTCTCATAACAAGGTATCACAATTGTTTGTCTGTCATGCGACTTGTCACGGTTGAAATTCTGGCCTTTATGGAATCAAAAGTCTCTGCTTTTATAAAAACAGGATCTTTATCCAGTGTCTCTTACTCATCTAGTTACTAACCTATCTAGAATCTCTTAATATTACTAAAAATAAAGAATGACTTTTTGTTTCTTTTTGTTGTTTTTGTCAAAGTTGTCAGCAAATGCACATTTAATGTTAAAAAAAAAAAAAACAAACTAAAAAACCAAATCCAGCCGAAGAACCTCAGAAGTCCACTTAACTATCTGTTAGCATATTCCAGATCAGATTAAAAAAAAAAAAAAAAAAAAAGAATGATGAAGGCAGGAAAGACAAGAATCATCATTTCACGGGAACATTGTGGCCTTGCCTATTCCTATGCTGATCTGCAGTTGCTTTTCTACTCTGAAACAGGTATACCTGCCAAATATCCCCAACTGGGACTGGAGGACAGGAGACAGCATCATCAGTTTCGCTGAACTGAAGCTAGGCTTTGTAGCACAAAGCTGCCTTGTTCCTGGTTTGTCTACTCTCCTAACCAATTTGTTCATTATGAAAAAGGATACTGAGGTACATCCTTCAGTTGTCTAAATAATGTGAATACAGCCCAGTGGGATCTTCTCTGAAATATGTGCCTAACTTCTGAGTTGAAACTGCAGCCAGGTCTTTTGAAGCTTATCTTGATCATGTTGGGATTAAGCTTGGCACAGAAGGCAAGAAAACCTAACAGACTATTTCTAATTTAATACTTGAATTCAGTGCAAGAGGTGAAACGAGTGCTCTAGAGCATGCTGAAGCAAAAGAACCTAAGGAGGCATTTTACAATAGTGTTCAAGGAGATGCCAAAGCAAAGGATAGCCCATAGCAAGCCATGCTGCTGCATTTAGCTGTTATGTGGAAACACCTTGTCTATTGCCATAGGTTCAAAAGCAATATTGTGATGCTAGTGCTCCACTGCCTCTGAGAGAACCCAGTAAATCAATTTTGGTTACTGCACCGTATGGACCCTGTTAGCTTCTTTGCGTCTGTGCTTGATTCCATTCTGCCTGGCATTCATAATTTGAATCTGTGCTTAAAGCACCTCAGCAGAACCACTCCTGCTTGACACCCCCAAAAATGGGCTGAAAATCAGTCCAATATACCCTTTCCGGTTAATAGCATGCTTTTCTTCAGTATCCTTTTAGGCTTATTTATTTCTTTGGTTGGGTCTTATGACGTAATTTACACAAGAACAGTGACAATTAGAAATCCTGTCATCTCTCTGCAAGGAAGGTGATCCAAATTTATCCTCCTTTTATCTGTCTTTCCTCATCAGTACCTGCTACAACGCAAAATTGATAAACTGCATATTAACTTAACAGTACACAAGTTGCTCAGATATTTCCAAATCAATTACAGAAGATTTAATAAAAACATAAAAAGACTGAACTATTAGGCGTGAAGTTGCCTGAACAAGTCTCAGGTTTGCTAGTCCTGCAGTGGACATGCTTTTGCTATCACCTAGTGGCTATATGTGATACTTCACATTAATCTCCTGCACAAAATAATTTGACTGCTATTTCTCTTTTCAGGGACTTTTCATTCACGAAATTAATTTAGACAATAGATATCACGTGAAATAAATGCAGACTTTATCAATGCAGAAGTTGTATGTAGAATTGTGCTGCTTGTTAGACAGTGTTTTTTCATTGACACGTGCTGTTTCATTCAGGTCCAAATATTTCACAGACATGGCAAAGCTAGCAAAACTGGTATTTTAAGGTTTTTTTAAAGCATACTATGAAAACTCAGCAACCTTTTTAAATAGAAAAAAAGCCTCTTATGTTAAAATCCACTAAATAATTTTTATTTGGAAAGCAACACTTTTTTACGTGTTTTTAGTAGCCTATTAAGTTTTATGCGGAAGGCATTCATATGCCAAGAGAATAGCATATACTGTGACACAACAAGTGGCAGTCTAAAACCTGGAGGAGCTCTAAGCAGTAGAATGTTTTGCTGCTTTAACTACCTAGGTATAAACAACCCTTCCCTAGTCACACAACTACCAAAGAAAAAAGAAATTCCTTATACTGGAGTACACAATCACAGTTCAGCAATAAATCACACCTCTAATAACTGTATGTACGATTGGTAAAACTTAACACAAGACCAGTCCTCACTTGAATAACTAAGGAGGCAGGTTAACCTTATTGCAAAGTAAGGTGTAACTTTCCTCAAATAATGGGCTTCCAATGCTTTGCAGTCATGAAATCTCCCTGTAACTTTATTTGAATGCAGTAATAACACCTGTTTTTCGATGATAATATGAATTGGAAGCGTCTAGAAGGGTTGAGACTTTCCCTGGTCTGTTGTTTATTAACTCCTATATTGTCTCTGACAACATATAGCTGACATCATTCTGCTTCCAGTAACGAAGGACCTTTGATCTAATCCTGTGTGTTGTCGGAGTATTGGCCCACTGTTAGATTATATATCCTACTTGCTTTGCCTTTCAATAAATACATTATCTTTATGGTTGATTCTTTTAGACAAAGAGAAAATATTTGAAGGACAAAAAGCTTCTGGAAGACAAAGACTACAAAGTAATGACTTTTCAGCTCTCCAATGATTTTGTAGACATGACTTTTATAGAGGTTTGTCGCTAAATGGTACAGATGTGGTTGTTCTGTTATTTCCTTCCAGATGTGTATTTTCACAGAGTAAGGGTTAGGGACATTGTGACTAACTGTGACTTGCTTTCTTTCCCCAGGTTGTGCTTTGTAAAACTGAACCTTGTCCTCTTGGGAATTGAACACAAATTTGGCGGTCAAGGGGAGAGGCCATTGTCTGGGAGACTTCTCTTCTGGTAAGAAGTCAACTAATTCCAAACTAACCATTTCCAAAGCACTCCGAAGAAGCATGCCCCAGGGTCTGCACAGGTTTTATATACACCTCTTATCTTCCTATGCACAGTATTTAGGAGACAGGATCAAGATGTTGTTCCTGGTTACATGAGTGCTGGGTCGAATTTTACCATATACAATCTCTTCTGTCTCCTCTTTTCTCACAGGTAATGAGGTGAGAGATGGGAGATGAAACACCATTCTTACCTTCTATTCCACATGCAAACAGCATAGGTCTCACTTTGATTTGGGGTGACTCGAGCATATTTATTTTCATTGGTAAAGGAAACACCTCTCATTTTTTTTAGCCACATGAGTTTACAGAGGTTCCTAAATGCTATAAGGTGTTGTCATAAAGGGATAATTTGTCAATGCTGGCAGCAGAGGTTTTGCTCTCTGAAGCTGATCTGGTCCTGGGCCAGATAACACTCTGTCTGTTCTAATGATGAAATACAAGACATCCTAATGGGGAAGCTGGAACTAGTTCAGAAAGGGGAATAAATAAATGCCATAGATCTTTAAAAAGCTTGAAAAATCACCCAGAAAATGCAGACTATTGAGTGCAATTATTTCTCTTTCCACTTTTATAAAGGAAATGGCCGTTTTGATGAAACTGTGGAATAGAAACACTGAAAACAGAGGGTTTTAAACACTGCTGTGAGAAATACGTTGGGGCTCTCTTCCAGAAGTGTTGAATGAACTCTACACTGAAAGAAGTCAGTAGATGTAGATGCTTGGCACTAGTGGAAAACAGGCCACAACTCAATCTATTCTTCCTTGAGTTCATATATTGTTTGGCTGAAAATAGAATGATGAAAAGAGAAGGCAAGAGGGAAAAGGAAGCTGCATGCCCTTTGAGAGATAGAGACTATATTTTTGCTTCCTTTACACAACAGTTGGCACAGAAGAGATACCTCTTCTAAAAGTGGGACCTCTAGATGTTGCTACAATATCTATAGTAATAATTAGTTATTCATGTTTTGTTTGTCCTCTGAGCCATGAATCTGGAAGAGCTGAGTACAGGCCTTCTCTTGTGTGGAAGGAAAATGTTAACAACCTTGTCATCTTTCCCCCTGCCATTCACACTACCAATATTCATTAAAACTGGGTTGAAAGCAATAGGAATTTGGACTGAGCTGGTACCTTGAGTGGGCTTTGTAGGGGAAACTGGTAAATTTAATGATGTTGCAGGGGATTCAACATAGATGTGCTTAAAGCAGCCCAGCAGGGATACTCACTCTGGATGTAGAAGGGGGAACCATTAGAAAATAAGGTTTCCTCCCCTTGTTTACCTGGCATGTTCAGCATTAGAGTAGATAGCTCCAACCCTGCACATCCTTAGGATCTTCAGTTGCACAGAACTTGTGTTTTAAGTGTGAGTATTCAGGATTTTCAGTGGAGAAACAGCCCATCCAGGCTGCAGTAAACTATGAATGATTTTATTACATTAAACATGTTCAAAAATAATGTGGTGGAAATGAAAGCACCTGTTTTCTATGAAGTTTACAATTTAGCAAATTAATTACAAAAAAAAAGCTGCCGAATCCTCAGAAGCCTCAGAATTGAATAAACTGCAGAAATCCTAACAAAAGCTGATTTGCATGCTTTGAGTCCCTGTTCTTCCACAACTCCCCCAGGTTTCTGTGGACAGTAAATTCCCTTTAAGCCACTGAAAAACCATGTTAACTTTTTCGTGTCTCTCGTAAGTCACAGAAGCTATAAAAAAGAGGATTAACGTAAGATTGTGAGGTGAGAGGAGACCTATGATCATATAGTCTGAATTCTCACAACAGAAGCGAAAAATGTCACCAGATAGAGAAACTGTGATTACTCTTTTGATTGTTTCTCAATACAGCACTATCCTGATAATCCATCTGCGCAGATAAAGCTTCATCGGAATACAATGGGCTTTTTTATTGCTCGTTCCCTGGCAGAAGTCAAAAGGTAAGATTCCCTATTATTTTTGTTGAAAAAAGGTCTAGAACAGAAAAACTTTCAAGAGCAAATGAGTGCATTTATTTTCTCGTCGGTTAAACACAATTCAGTTCTGCCTAATTCATTTCTGTTTTCTAGAGGCACAGTTCTGTTGTAAAGCCTGTCACAGTGATATACAGGATCCAGAGCAGATTAAAAAATGTCAGTGTAAAAGCGGACTGTACTCAAAACCTTCCTCAGGTAATTTTTTAAAATCTGTTTCTCATTTAAAAAAAAAAAACAGATGGCTGAATGAAAAACTATTAATTGTGTTTTTATTAACTATTTCTCTAGAAGGGTAGGTTGGAATACATAGCCCTTTACTTACCTGATAAAATAGGGAGTTTTCTGATGATACTAATAAGTCTTATAGATCATGATTATATTTTAAATGCTTTGAATTTATGCTTTTCTTTAGGAGTCAAAAGCTTCTTGGCTAAAAAAAGAGTAGGACAGACTATACCTTGTTCAAGATCTTCACTCGTTAACAGGTTTATCACAGAATACTGTTCTTTAACTGCAGAGACTGAAGCAAATGTGTCTTATTACTATAGCATGTGTATAATTGAAGCAAAAGCTACAGCTGGATAAAAACAGAATTTTGTGTCCAGTTTGTACTAGAGTCTTGGTCAGGATTCCTTGAGGAAGTGTGTCTAGATTGTTGTCATTGTGAGAATATAAAACTTTAAAGTTTTATCAATGTCAGATAAATGTTTTTGAGGTTGTATAGCAATACTTAATGGTGTTTGCTCTGAGGACCTGCAAATCTTAGCTGGATGGAGAGAACCGATTAATCATGGTAACATCTAACCCTAAGCAGAGCAACTTATTCCTTCTTCACGTCAAACTCCATTTTGAAGATGTAGGGGTTTGTTAGGTGCTAATTTTCTGTTGAAATAGAGAACAGCCTCTCAGATCTATGTGTAACTGCACATAGTTGAAGCTTGCTGCATTTTCATTAAGTGTTTAAGGCCAAACACCTCTTCTAGGCTCCTGTAAACTTCTCTGCTAGTGTCTCCCCTCCATGGAGATGGTGCTTTGCTTTAAAGAGCAGACAAGGAGCTTTCCTTTAAATGTGGATGTACACATGCATGCCTACTTGTATTTCAAGCACTTGCAAATCCTTTAAGCAGCAGATGGCAGCCAAGCCCCATTACAAAACACACCTCTGAACTGCAGATCATTGAGGTAAAGGCAAAACTCATTCATACTGTGCTCAGCCAGACTGAGTGAACAAGCACAAACATGCTGACACCTGGAGGACTCCATGTAGTAATGTCATGTAGAAAGAGAAGCTGGAGCCCATTTTCAGTCCAACACACTTATCAGCATAGATGTAACTAAGGTCCCTGAAAGCCAGCTACCTCCCAGAAAAGAGACTTCCATAAACTGCAAAGACATCTTAATAAAAGTCAATGGCAAATGAATAGAAAGACATTGACACTGTAGGAGCTCTCCACCTGGTTGATTTTTTTCTCGTTTCCTAGGCAATCTTAGATTTTAAAAGGACAAGATGACATTTCAGTATAAATGTGGATTAATAAAAAGCAGTTGTTTGCAAACCTGCAGTTCTGTACCAGTTATACCATGCAGAAGTATGTAGAGAGAGCAGTTGCCTGAGGTGAATCAGGAGCTTTGCCAGGCATAAGACCTTGCCATTAGTTTCCCCTAGGATTCTGGATGTATCAGAGCAAAACAGAGCTTAATTATAAGCACTTTGGTTTATTCCTCCACTCTCCATATAATGTAGTTTAAGTGGTAAGTGGTGTTCTGGATTCCTCCAAACTCATTGCGAGGGAGGTAAGGGGAAGGTTAGATGGAAAAGACCAGAACTAGTGTACGTGAGTATGCCTCCAGTACCTGCAATGGAAATATGGAGATTTAGTTGGCGAAAAGCAAGTTCATTGCCGTGAATCTAAAAACTAATACAGGAGCCTCACAGATTGCAAGCTTTAGTCAAAGGAGCTACTATTGTCATTTTAACAGGAGTGTAAATGGCATACCAGAGTGCAGTCAGAACAGAAAACAACGGCTATTTTTTCCTTTATCATCCAGACTTAATCAAAAGCTATTACTATTCCTAGATTTTTTTTTTTTTTTAATCTTCAGATATGTATTAAGAGGCCATAGGGCTTCTTGAGACAATGATACCCTGCCACCCTTGGGACTTGGTCAGGCAATGGAAGTAAATGAGAGCTTTTCTCCCTGTTCTGCATGTCTGCAGGACCTCAGAGCTGCCATGGGCAGTGAGGCCCTGCACAGGTTGTTCACAGTAACCGAGGAAGTCTGTGATAAAGGCTGGGACTGAGCCCAGCTCTGTGGAGTTGGCCAAATATCTTGGTTTAGAAGACCATAAGAGACTTCTCTCAGATACTTATTAGTGCCTGCATAAGACAGGCTGTTCTGAATTTACATTCTCTGACTTATTAAGTCTCTCTTCCATTAAGCTTGACCTAGACGAATCAAGTGGCATGTAGCATCCTCAAAGAGCTTGCTCTCTACCCATCCAACTCTCACCTCATTGAACACAAGGCTGTAAAAGAGGTATCCTGTTACCAAGGCTAAATGCACCTGCTTTTAGCACATCTGTGTAGCACAATTACAGCTTAAGGTTGACAAATCACCTATTCAGAGAGATGTCCCTTTTTCTGCCAGGGGTATGTTTGGAATCGCTAGCTGTTTCATCTGGGTTAGCATGGTTTGGCAATAGTTACGACATCACAAGAAAGTTAAGGATATGTGAGAGGGTTCATCTGTCAGTTTGTGAGATAAAAAGATATGTGTGTCTGAATGTTCTTCCAGTCCAACCTTTCTGTTCCCATCTGTATGCATAGGACATGTTTAGACACATGTGATATGGAGAGCTTTGCTGCGCCTCCTGTCAAATGCTGACAAGGGGAGGAATGCAGATTAGCAGCAAAGATACAGACCAGGGGAGTGTGAGGAGTAGTATCGTGTGTCCTGAACCAGCTACATCACTGTGAAAAGCAGGAGATGTAGGTAGGTTCAGGTGCTCTTAAAAAATCTCAGAGGGTGCTGCTATACATCCTCAAATCACTGCCTGGTGTTATAATGCTGGTCTTAATGGCCCATGACCTCAGATTATGGCCCAGAAAGGACTAGATCAAATGTTCCAGCTGTTAAATAGCTACTTTAGGATTTGGGAAACTTGAGCTCATTTTCTTGATCTGCTTCCTCAGATTCAGCCTGGGACTTTAGGCCACTTAGCCTTTCTGAATTTTGATTTCCTGATTTGAAATTGAGGAAGCTAAAAATGGTTGACTCGCAGGGCATAGTGTTGTAAATAATTGGAAGTCACTTATGACAAGTATGAGGATGGTACAAGTACAGAGTATGAACTCTTCCTACCCTCTAGCTTTTTGTTTTTTTTCTTGTATGGAGGACCATGTTTTCATGGAGCACTTAGAGCACACCTTCTCCCCTGCAGGACAAGGATCCTCCTCCTCCACACTTTTAAGGACAGGCCCAGCCCCAGCACCCCCATGCACCTTGGACTTCCCCCTCCCTACAGGACAGCCCAGAAACCTGCTCACCCCCTTCAGGACCTGCCCTGGGACCCCCTCCTTTTCAAATGTAAGCTGTGATTCTCTCTAGTTGAGAACACATCTTGTTCTTTCCCATGCAAAATGAGAGAACAAAGGTCTTACAGGTCACACAAATGTGTGTTGGCTATGTGTTGAGGGTATGCTTCCTTCATCTGTGCCTCCACCTGCACAAGTGACAAAGGTTTCCTTCACTTTGGGGGAAAAACTCAGCAGTTCTGAGTAAGTTTTAGCTTCTGGATTCCAACACAAGAACCTCACAAAGAAAAGGAGCTCCTTTTGGAATGAAATGGTGTGTTAAGTATGTAAGTGCTCACCACATTTATGACTGTTTTATGCACACTAGATAGAATTACTGTTCTATAATGCTGTGCTGTATTTCTGAGCAGTTGATATGAATAACCAATTACTCAGAGCTCCTTTGTCCAGCATTTCTGAAGCCCCCACAGAATCCTCAAATGCCATGGTAGCCATTTGCAGACACAATCTAAATGCGACTGAAGGCTATACAAAAGGAACCCAATTCTGTTTCATTGCCTTTGTTTCAGAGAAACTAAAATTCTGTAGAGAATCGCATGTTTCAGATGGAGAGCCTGCAAAGTCAAGGTCCCTTGGTGGTGTTCTACCTCGGAGTTTTGTTAATGGGTAAGAAATGTAAAGCTGTGTGTATGCTGAGCAGGCATTTCCTGGACTGACTTACTGAGAATTTGTGTGGAAAGTGGGAACAGCAGGGTGTGCCCTTTTACTAAATTTTCTGCTATTGTTAGTGGTTGTGGTTGAAGTGGATGGTTTATGGCTTCTCCCTATCTGGATTAATTGAACAGCGTAGAAGACACAACTTATGCCTATGAATCCAAATCCTTACCTCTCATACTCTCCTGCAAGCTCAAAGCCTGTGCTGTGAACTCCTGATACCACTCTGGAGGAAAAAGGGGAAGGAGAGGAAGGGATGGGTACACCTCCTGAAAGTGCTCACTGCCTTCCAGACAGAAGCCCAATGATCACTGAACAGCTGAGTCATGAGCACATTTTATTTGGCTACTTCTGAGAGAGCAGAGTGGAAGCAGGAGTAGTTAGGAGTAGGAACACAAACACCAACACCAGGGTTTGCTCTTTGCTCAGATATTTAATTGGAGTGTGACACTGACAGCAACCTGGAAGACTAGCAAACTCTGGTACACTATTAAAAGAAGTTGGGTCTAAAGGCAAATGGAGATCCAAGAGAAATCACACCCTAGAGCCTTTCTCGCTAGCATCAGTAATGCATGCTAGAGGAGTCCTTTCTAGGCCATCTAGATTCTTCCTAGCCAGAGGAATCTGATTTCCCAGCAGGGTTTACAAACTGGTGGCAGAGCATAGTCATGTGCTGGCTAAGGCAAGGTGTGAATTGCAATATTCTTATCTACAGTGTACTTAGTTTGCCAGTCCAGTTGACTTGCATTGGGACTCTTCATAACCTGAGCTGCTACATTCAGCATAAGGAAGAGTATCGTGGTCTGATACTGAGCTTTCCCTCTCCCAAAGCATCCACTAGAGAGGGTGACAGGACATATTGGCAAACAGTGTCATACCAGAATTGCAGGGAGTGAACAGGATCCTAGTAGGGGAAGAGAGATGCACTAACTAGTATTTCTTGCCTTGTTTCTTCTTGTGAGCAATTTGCAGCTGCTATAGAACTGAAGAGGCTTAATAAATTATGTCTCTCCTCCCTCCAAAACCCTATCTTGTGCTTCAGCAGCAAAGGCAACTGGACTCTATGGCATGACTCTAAGGTGTCCTCTGGAGAGCTTTGCATCTTAACAGCTGTCCCCAGCACATACATGATATCAGGACAATAAAATGTTGCTCAGTGCTGCTGTCCTACAACTGATTAGGTCAGCTGTAAATATTGGGACTGCACAGTAAATACATATGCACATACTACCAGATTGTGCTGACTTGTTAAATATAAATGAAAACATAATTAGATTTATAATGTGTCCCTCCCCCTCCTCATGCCCAATAACATAATTTACCAAAGGGGGTGGGGGGAGAAGAACGAGCCCTCACAACCTGCTGAAATATCATTATTAACATGCACATGAAAAGTCAATTATGCCAGAGGGAGGTATTTAAGTGAAGTGAGTTTCCATACTCTGGGATTACACCTTGGGGATTATATATTTCTTATTTATTTATTTTCCCTGAGATCTCTGCTGCTGCTTAGCAGTGAGGAACAAAAATGTTACTAAGAGATATTTTGAAATCCCCTAAAGAAATAGCCAAATATGCAGATAAATAATTGTTCCCATCCCCATCAAGATTTTCCCTCATCACTGTATCATAAAGACTCTATCCAGTCAGTGCAAGTATGTTTTCTGGTGTTTAGTTTTAAATGACACCAGGGACTGGTCTTCCAGCACTTCCCTGGGGAGGACATTTTACTGTACTGTTATTATTAGTTGCAGTATTTATTATTTGTATTATAGTGGTGCTTTGATGCTTCTACTGGGACTGGGATCCTGTTAGGCTGGATGCTGTGTATGTGCATGGTAAAAGGCAGGTTTTGCCTTAAAGACCTCTCAGTCTAAATAGAAAGAGCAGACAAAGAGTGGGAAGGCAAAGGGAAGTAGGAAAGGGTGAAATGAGGTATCGAAAGTCATAGAGGAAACCTCACAATGCAAAATGCAGCTCTTTGGGGCTGACTCTTCATAACACTAGACTTCTCAAATTAGTCCCAAGTAATTTTTTGTTATTATTTAAACCAACAATAGAATGGGATCCAATTGCCCATTTCAGATTAAGGTGAGGTTTTCCACCTGGGGTGTTCTGCTAATAGAAAACCTAACACTGACCTTTTGCTTCCAAATTAGGATAGTTAGGACAGTGACCAAGGGGAGCTCCAGGTTTAAATCTCTGCTCCATTTGATTTAGGATGGTAAACTGCAATCTGATCCAGGGAAGGTAGACATTTTAACACAAGCGTCGTTTCCAGGGTTCTCTGGATATACGATGGGGATTACTTCCACTGTGTCCAGCAGGCAGTGCTTTTAAAATTACTTGGATACTTAACGCTCTTGTCCCTTTACAGGGTCCTTTGAAAATATCTTTTGTTTATTGGGACATTTAGCCAGCTGAATACTTAAATTGCAATTATTTTTTTAAGCGGAAGTTTGCATCTGAGATTGAGACAAGATTTGCATGTGGGCTAATCAATGAAAAAATGTAATCAAACCATAATTCAGGGAAATTCAATAAAGTATAGTGGGAAAAAATTAGACATGGCCTATTATAAGACTCAAAACACACATTTGATTCAGGTCTTGCTAATATTGCTGGTGTCCTAGACCATTTTCATGAAAGCTATCTTCCGTCGTATTGCATGTATTGTCTTGTACATTTCTTCCTTTCTCTTTTTGTTTCCCCCACTGAAAATAAGCAGATCTTTATATCCAGGGGAAGAACTTAATTAGCATCATTTAAAAAAAAAAAGTCATCACAAACCAATACAAAAAAAATCCTAAGACCTATAAAGCTCATACAGAAGTGAATACATAAAGACCTGTTCGGATTCCTCAAGCACTTCTGAGCCTCTGCATCGATACACTTGCTTTACTAGTCATGGTTTTTCCACACATTCTTGCCTAAGGCATGACAAATTTAATGGTGTATGTTTTGCTGAATTGTTGACTCTTGTTTTTAATTCCTGCTAAGTTTCTAGTGAGGCATAAAAGAATGTTTGTGAGCAAGGCTCCATGTGTACACAACTCTGCAATGTCTCCTTCCTTTTTGCCCTGGTGTAGAGTCACTTCAGCCAAGCAATGGATTAGTAGAAACTGAATTAGATTAAAAGGGAAACCCGGTTAAAGAACCAAGTTTTAGCTCCCTGTTAATTGTAACTTATCTAGTGCCTGGATAATTGCTCGTAAATACCTGCTGAGTTGCCAAGCCTATGTTAAGACTTGTCAGTCTTCAATAAATCTTAAAGACTTAAGATCCTACTCTTTGATACTACCCATCACTTCCCAATCCAAAGGTAGGGCAAAACAAGGCAGTAACGCTGAGCACTTCAGCTCAGCTAATCTGGCAGAATGCATCACAATCTTTATAAATGTGTGAGAAGGGCTGTACAAGAGCTCCTGAAAAGGTCATTGGTATTTTTGGAGCGATAAATCATGGAGGGAAAGATTTGCATTTTGGCTGTATAAAATCCAGGGCTGGATTAGAGAGAGCATACTTTGCAGTAATATTTCTCTCCTGACTTGTTTTATTAGCTTCCTTTAAACATGTTACATTATTGCTTATAGAATTTCATTTACTTGGATTGGCAGCTTGATAAATATGTCTATTGGCGATGATTTGGATTGCTCTGGGCATTAATATTATTAAAACCTGTCACAAGGAAATGTCTGAAAGATGACTTACTGTAAAGATTACAGCATGAAATAAATCATACAATGGTATTTGTTACCGTTTATGGCCTCTTGGAGCCGAGTCAATCCCTTTTTATGTTGCATTATTTTTCAAGTTTTTATAGCCTTACATTATATATCGCTGTCAGAAATGAACAGATGGGGTGTCAAACACGAGCCTTCTGAATAATTCCCACCCTCGGGTTATTTGTATGAAGGACAAGTGTAAAACTGTGTTCTCAAGAAAAAGGAGATAGATAGAGGTGGAGAAAGTGTTGTTACAGTGAGCAAGATCCCTTTTGTCAGCAGGCACATTGTGCTTTTGATCACTACCTGGTATTTACACTACAGGGTGGAGGCTCTGTGGAAAATTTAGCAGTCTGTTGGCACAGCAGAAAACCTCACAAGTTAGACAAGTTTCACATTCCTTCAGCTTTACTTTTATTGCTAGAATGGGAGAGAGATGTGGAAGAGGTGTTTCAGTGACAGCCAAAGCTCAGAGGGTTTGTAGAAACATGGAAAAGTGTGGACGCCTATACGTACCTCTCAAACACTTCAGGGGTGGAATTCGAAAAAGAGTCCCTCTTGAACTACACAAATGGCATTTCTGTTGTTTGGGATGCATAAGGTAGAAGATGAATAGATATTTTGGACGCTGGAAGTTTATGAATTGATGTTAGGCAGGGAGCTCCTCTAGGAAGAGGCAATAATATTTTGCATTCCACTTTTTGTTGTGTTGGGAAGTCCCATTTTTCTTGCTGTGTATTTTTGAGGACTAGTTGTCAGAGTCAGGGTGAGAGGTTGGATGGAGTGATAGTTAAGCTGATAAATACACATGCAGTTAATTAGGTTTATCTGAGTTTAAAAAATTCAGGTGGGAGACATCGTCCATGCATACTTTCCCCCAAGTTTTCTCTCTGCAGATCCCCAGCCCCCAGACTCTTGTACAGGTACACAGAATATAAATCAGCATTATTTTTAGAACATGACTCTTCTTGGTATAAATGGATCTCTAGGTACCCCAATAAATTGTTCTGTCGATGCAGGCTGGCTGAATCTTGCTCATGGTCTTATCTTCACTGAAACTTGCGCAACCAATAAGACTGACAAATCATTGTGATGGAGCAGGTATTTTAGTGGATTTCTGAAACAGAAAAGCTAGCTTCCATGGTGTGCAAAATCTGCCCAAACTTGTTTTGTACAGACTGCATTGTCTCTTTGCATGAAAACCAAGTCTGTTTACTGGCATTGAAA